GGTTTACACTACATGTATTCGGGCCCGATGAGAATCCAGCTGTACATTTTTTATTCCCACCTCGATTAAGGATTATCGCCCGCAGACGCTGTCTGGACAGTGGTATACGAAGATCACGGTTGCCGGTCGTTTCATGTGATGTTGCGATCTGGCGTTTGTGTTTTGCACTTGGTTTCTCGTGATGTCGGCATCGGGTGGTTGTGGCTTGCCAACTGTCACCACCAGGGTTTGTAGAATAAGATCCACACTTTTTGTTGACCCTTGGTTCTGACTGACACTGGGTCTTGAGTTAAGGTGAGGAGTGTAGTGCTCTGAGGTAATCAATCACACTATGGCACAGCCACAAACTGGACCTCCTGGGGGTCAACCAGGTCACGGCCCTGGTCCTGGTCCTGGTCCTGGTCCTGGAATCAACATGAATGCTGGTCCGGTTCCCGTTCCTGGCACCATGGGCCCAATGTCGTTGGCATCGCATCCTGGTGCACTGCCACCTTTCTCACCATCAGTTCAGTTCTCCCATCCAGCTCAGCCGCCGTTCAATACTGCTCACCTTCGTCCAATGGGTGCTCCGCCGCCGCGGTTTGCACCGCCTCCTGGTCCTCCTCCCCAAGGTCCCCCGCCATCAGGTATGGGCCCCCCTTTGCCTGGTCCTCCGCTACCTGCAGGGGGTCCTCCTAGACCACCCCCTCTTGGTGTGCCTCCTCCTGGGGGGCCGCCTTGTGGGCCCATGCCTGGGCGTTCTCCTCTTGCTGGTTCAGGTCCACGTCATGGAATTCCTTCTGGACCTCCTCACGGCCCTCCTGGAAATCCTCTAGGACCTGGCCATATCCCTCCTGGAAATCCTCTAGGACCTGGCAATGTGCATTGTCCCGGTTCCCTGACGACATTTCCTCCTCTTGTTCCACTTGGTCCGCATATGGGACCTCCTCCGGGCTCTCTTCCCGGCCCTCCACCCACTGCTCCTCCTGGACCTCCGCCTAATGCTCCTCCTGGTATTCCACTGGGTGTTCCTGGACCTCCTGGCGTTCCTGCGGGTCTTGGTGCACCTCTTGGACCCCCACATGGTATTCCCCCTAGATTTCCTCTTGGTCCTCCTCCTGGACCCCCGCCTGGCATCCCTGGTGCCCCTCCCGGGCCACCTCCTGCTGCTGGCCCTCCCGGACCTCCTCCTGGTGTCCCACTTGGACCTCCCTCCACTGTTCCTCTGCATGGACCCCCCCCCCTTCGCCCCCTGGGCCCCCCTCTTGGTGTCCCTCCTGGACCTCCTGGTGCTCCTCCTGGCCCTCCTTGTGCTCCGTCAGGACCTCCCGGGGGTGGGCGACCTGCGGACCCTAATCTTGCCAACGGTGGTATGCCGCCTGGTGTCCATCCTCCTGCCAGTGCGGCTACCCCACATGCTACACCTCAGATGTTGTCTCCTCACAGCTCTGCAGGAGCCTCACGGGATTCTCCTGCTGCATCTGCTGCCACCCCATCTAGCGATCCGTCAGCCCCTCCTATCCCTTCTTCGCCCAATTTTGCACTGCATGCCACATCTGGTGGTCCACCTGGGGTCCCAACTGACAGCCCATCTGGCACTCGTGGTGTTCAATCTACGACTCCGCCCGGCCTGCCACATGCTGGCCAACATCGGCAATTCCCTGGAGCGCCACCGAGCAGCACACCTGGGATGCCCCCAGGTGCCCCACATGGGATGAATGGCCCGTCAGACTCTCAACTCCGCAACCAGTCTGGCAGTGTACCTAGCAATCTGTCTCTTCCATCTCATCGTGCCCTTCCTAATGCTGCACCCACCGACCCTTCTGCTGCTTCTGCTGGGGCTTCTCCCAAAACTGCTTTGCATACTTCGTCTGGGGCTCCATCCTGTGCTTCACCAAAGTCTTCTCCTGGTGCTGGGGGTGCCCCTGCTCAGACGCCTCCTGGTGGCCCTGTGCCCCCCCCGGGCACCCCTGGCGCCTCTCCTCGCCCCGGTCCTGCTCCTTGTGCTCCTGCCAGCCCTCGTACAGATGCTGTGGTCAAGGGGCATGGCGCTGTCCCTGCTGGTCCCCCCGGTGCAGCACCCGGGGTTCCCACAGGGATGCCTCACCCCACTGCAACGACAGCTATTACAGACGCTGTACCAACTTCCACGATTGCTGGTTCAACTAGTTGTCCAACCAATCCTCCATCTGATGCTTCAAATACAGCTCTTGCTGCTGCACAGACAGCCGGTCCAACTACCGTACCACGTAGTGGTCCAAGTACTGATGCAGCGATTGCTGCCAGCCAAAAGTCGTCTGGCGGTCCTCCTAGTTCTGTACCCAGCTCTCCAGTAAAAGCTCGTGAGATTTCTTCTGGGGACGGTCATTCAGGAACTACGGACGCAGTGACACGTGCTGTAGGTGGTGTGTCTGAGTCCACTCCTACGGGTCCGGGCCCAACAAGTTCCGCGCTTCCTGATGGTTCCGCTCCTGGTCCTGGTTCATCTCCAGCCGATCCAGCTAGACCACCTGGACAACCGCAACCACAACAGTCGCAGGAGTCCCAGCCTTCACTGGAACTGCAACCATCTCAGCAAAATCAGCCACCTCATCAACAAGAGCAGCAGCAGCAGGCTCAGCAGACACACCCTGGAGCATCAAGTACCCAGGCGGGCCTCTTGGGACCCGGCTTGCGGCCGATCAGTCCGGCTGCGCCTCCTGGCCTGCCTCAATTTCTAAGCCAGGTGAGTAATTTTTATTTTTATGCTGCCCCCTCGTTGTGATTACCATATCTGTATTTCTGTTCTGATATGTGTGTTGACTTTGTTGTTTCACACTTCTCAAAGGTCTAATAAACTGGATGTTACCCCTGCCATCTGACCTCTGACAAGGTTTGATTGCAGTGACGACCGTATCTTCTCACTCCTCTCATGCACACACACTCGCATACAAACACACACTCACATACAAACACACGTGCTCACATATAAACATGAACAGTCACATACAAACACACATGCATGCACACATACAACCTCCTGATGAGTCGGTGAAAGTCCTTCGAAACAGTCTGGCACAGTTGTGCTTTTTTTGTGGAGTGTACAGCGCACATGGCAAGACACACACACACACATGCAAACACACACACACACACACACACACTCACGTACACATGCAAACACACACACACGCACATGCAAACACCTGGAAGTGATTGACCTTTGTGCAATGGTTGACGGGAGGAAGACAAAAAGAAGTGTGGTGGCGTCGTTCTATCAATGCATCATTAGCCCTTCCGGTTCCATCCAGTGTTGCATACCCCGACGGTAGGCGTGCCTTGACTGGTCGGCTGCCGACCTGCTGACCGGTTGGCTGGTTGGCACCTACTGGTCGGGGGTCGTCGGCACCCCGCAAAAAAAAAAAAAGGGTCCAGAAGCCCTAATAACCCC